GGACCGAGACACAGACTTCCGTTTCCGTTTCATCGAACTCCCGCGGTATCTCAACACAAGTAAAAAAAAAATCGAAAAATAGGAGTGGAAGCAACTGTTAATAGTAATCTATCGTTTTTAGTAGCTGAGATCTTCGTTTTCTTGAATTATTCTAAAATTGTGCTATTAAGACAAGAAAATATACGGATTATGCTAGCAGTGCTACTTTTGGAAAAAGGGCAAAAATTATGCTCAATTCCTCAGATTATGCCAAAAATTATGCTAGCACAATCGGCAAGAGCCTATCCTCGGTGCGATTCAGCATTCTTTTTGGCGCGCCTTTTTTTTCCATTTGTAATACGCTTCGAGATATATTGCGGGCTCAAACAAGTGCGGTTCAGCAAGAAGCGAGCAACTAGATGGCTGCTGAAAACGACCCAGGTGGACATCTTATTAAGATCTTAACAAAATTCTTATTAAGATTCTTACAAAGATCTTAACAAGTTTCTTAATTAAGATTCTTACAAGATCTTGTAAGATTCTTGTAAGAATCTTTAAAGATCTGTTAAGAATCTTGCAAGATCTTGTAAGAATCTTAATTTAAGTTCTAAGATCTTAGAAGAATCTTAACAAAGATCTTGTACGATCTTAAAAAATCTTAATCAAGATTCTTGTAAGACATTTTACGATCTTACAAGAATCTTACCAAAATCTTACAAGATCTTGATTAATAAACTTGTCAAGATCTTGGTTTGAACTGTAACTAGAATCTTACAAAATATAACAACTTTTTAAGATTTTGTCTTTCTCTTCTAGATTTTTCAAGATCTTGGTCAAGATTCTAACACAATCTTGCAAGATGAAAAAGAAGTATTGTTGAGAGAGCTTTCAACTTTCTTGGTCAGGATTCTTGAATGTTTCCTTGATAATAGTTCAAGACCCGATTTTTTAAAAAAGAGTCCCCCCACGTAAGAATGTTGCCCGTAGCAATGGCAATCCAACATGGCATGCATTTCAAAGTTACGACGTCATGTTGCGTTCATGCCGCAGAGGCAATATTTTGAAGACCTTTTTGCTGAAAATGAAGGAGTCTTGTCTTATGACAAAAACCGTCATTTGCCGCAGAATTATATAAAAGAATGCTTTCTTGGAAAAGTTCAGAAGGAGTCTGAGAAAAACGGGAAGAAGGAGATCGACGGAGTGGTTCGAGCGTGACTTTAAATTTGTTGCTAACGTCAGGCTTTCCAGGGCAGCATTTTCAAAATTATGCCAAGAAATTGGTGCATATATTAAAAAGGAAGATGCCTTTGCTAAAAATACCATCTCAGTAGGAAGGTGAGTGCAGGCCATAACGCTGTACTACCTTGGCCAAGGTAAGCAAGATTAACAGCAAAATTCGTAAAAGTGATGGATGATGGTGTGTAAAGGGCTGTTCTCTCTGCTCATCTTAATCATATAATTTTGCCATTTTCCATAGTCTTATATCGAATATTACTCAATTTAGATTCTCATTAGTTAACAATTATCCTTTGAAGTGAAGGTGAATGTGGCTGGCTCTTTACCGAGCCGCGATCTCGACAAAAAAAGGAAAGGCAAATCATGCGTGAAAAATTTGCACTGTACATGCGCAAAGTCATCTTTGCAGAATTTTCAAACATCATGGCAGTTCGCAGTTTATCATTTCGCAAACAACACGATAATTGCTTAAATTGAACTATTAACACTTGAAATTGTTTCCTTACCTCAGAAGAAAAGTTCAGCTTTGTATATTTTCTGTTACCCGCCAAGTTAGTGAAAAAGATTTCTCGTGTCGTTCTCCACATGAAACGTCTTCAGACATCGCGTTTAAGGCGTCGTTTTCCTGTAGCCTTTTTTTTTTTTGTCCTATTTATTTGAAACGTAGAATTACCGCAAACATTTGCTCTCATTTTCTTTTGTCATAAATAAACTTCAAGTTTTGGACAAATTTTTTCTTGTTAAGAAACGATGCGTTCACAAATCTGTCTCTTCTACTCGAATAAACAGTCAGAATTGTAAACATTCCATTGAGCAAAACAACAACAAAAACAACAACAACAACTAAAGTAAATGGGATATAACACTGTTTTGAATGCTTTGAAGTCTATTCTTGCCTTAAAAACATCAGCCCTATAGTAGTTCAGGGTCGAATTTCGAAAGATCGTTCTCTAAAGGAATATTGGTAAAACACCAAGCTCACACGTTATGACCGCTATCCACTGGCTAGGAGGTGAATATTTAGCAATTATAGAATGAGAGGAGACTGAGGAGGATGTGAAGAATTATGTAGATCGAGGAGGATGTTATCATATATTTTGCATAGTTTTAATATTCTTACTTTTATATTGTATTTCCAATTATAAATTGTGTCCCCGAATTAGTATGGGGTTTCCCCTAAGCTAAACAAGGTGTTAACTACCGTGCTGTAGCCAACCAATTTGGTGCAGCTGTCCCCACTGTTTGTGGTATAGTTCGAGAGACAACCGAGGCAATCGTGGCATTTATGACGCCTAAGTATATCCGATTTCCCGTCACAGACGTGGAGTGTTTGGCGGCCATGGCGACGTTCAACGATCAACCAATTCCAAATTGTGTTGGCACCATAGATGGCAGTCACATAAGGATCATTCGTCCCCATAATTACAGTACTGACTACTATAATTTGAAAGGCTATTATTCTGTTTTGTTACAAGCCGTCTGTGACGGGAACTGCAAATTTTTAAGTCTGAGCTGTGGACACCCAGGATCGATACATGACGCGACGATGATGCGAATATCCGGGTTTACGGGCAAGTCCTTGCAAAGATGTAAGCTAATGTTTTAGCTTACAAACCTTACTAATGAGTGTTTTTTTTTAAAGAAATCTGACATTCATGTTGTTACTTACATTGAATTTGAACAAGTGCTGCTCACTATTTAGTAAATTCTCTGCAGATTTGTTTTTCCATTTTTACCCAAAAATAAATACAACTTTTTTCACTGTTGAAACATACACCAGTTTTAGTATAAGGTAGTTATTTCTGCCTTTCAATAAGCACTGTAGTCTGCAAATACAGTGTACCCCTGGGGGCACTTTTGAGAAGCTTGGTAGGGGTGTGCTCCTGAAGCTTTCAAACCCTGACGTTGTTTACATGTAAGTCAAGACCATTCAGTTTGCTACCCTGTTTAAGACAAGAGACCATTTTCATACTCCCTTTTCATTTCATTTTGAGTGTTCAGGCCAGACCTTAGATATCACGTCCTCCTCGATCCTTGCAGGAGAAGACAACATGTTAAGAGAAGACTCGGGGAGGCCATCAACATATTTTGTTGGTCTCATGCATTGAACAGGGACAGTAGTTACAAGTTAAAACCCGGGCCATTTTTTTTGGAAATCCGTTGCAGTGTCCCCTCCCCCACTCTATACAGTATTGATAGTTAAGAAAAATTGTGAATACATGGGTTCAACATTGTTTGTGGGGTAGGGGGAAGAGATGGACGCATGATTGTGTAATTTTAAAAATTTCTACAAATACAAGAATGTTCGGGGACTTTCGTCCATGATTGTAGGTCCATTTATGGTACATGTTCTGGCAATCTCAAGTGTAGCATTCGTCTTAAACATTAGTTTTATCAGTAAATTCTCATTTTTTGTGTCTTCTGCTCGTACGTGTAACTCTTTTAAAGCACATATATAGGCACTAAACCATACATTCTTTTATACGCAGTCCTGGCCCCGCGGTTGTTCAAAAGCTGGATAGTGTTATCCATGTGATAATTTTGATCACTATCCAGTGTATAAGTGTTGTGGAAACCATTTGAGTTATCCAATGGATTGTGATTTATCCGGTGGATAGCATTATCCTCGTTTTGAACAGCTGGGGCCTGATCGATTAAGTAACTTATTGTTGAAGCATTTTACTCTTATAGGTGCCTCAACAAAACTTACCAGGGCTTACCACTTGTGATTCTTGGCGATAGTGAATATACCAAACTTCCATGGCTGCTTGTTCCATATGCTGGAACAAACATTACCCAAGCTAATTGGGTCAATTGAAGGGGAGGTTTCGTGTTGTTGGAAAGCAAGTGGACATTGAAACTTGCAAAGTTGACAACATATTGTCATCACATGTTGCACACTTCACAATTTTTGCCTTCAGGCGAAGGAAATATTTTTGGATGAGTGGTGGCCAACTGATGATGAAGACAATGAGAGCAAAGTGTTGAATGATAATTGGGGATTTGATATTGATACTACTCAAAATCTTTTTTTTTTTAACAATATTTACAGTAATGGTGATCGAGTTTTTTTATACACTGACCAGTGCAAAGGGTGCACGTGTAAGGATGAGGGTTTAGTTCTGACTTTGAGATTGTATCGTTAGCTAACTGCTTTGCTGCGGGTACAGTAAAAGCCCACGTCCATGAACCTGCATTTTCCCAAGTTAGCCTAAACTTGAGGAACTTACATAAATGGTGATTATTATCACTACACGGGGCCAAATGACAAACTGCCCCCTCTAAAACACTCCTTTTCGCGGGTCAAGGGGCAAAGTCCGGGCTGTAAATGGAATCTGAGCCCGCATTTGATTTCATGTTAACAATCTTTCCTTATGAAGTGAATTTGTAATTATTTATTAATACCAAATCCGCATCATAGGGGGCTGGCTGTCCGATTCCTGGTCAAAATCATCATTCAGGCACTGCAAAATACAATCGGACCTATGTCCCATACCTATATCGCCCATGTCGCTAGCTGCTGAATAGGAGTTCATAATAACAACGTTGTGTATCGAATAGTCTTGATTTTGCTTAAGTGCAACTACTACAATGGAATGTTGGGAAAAGATGAATGGCAGAGAATAGTGCAGGGACCAGTTACATAAATCTTAACAGACCCGTTTTTGTGCTTGAGGGGGGATTTTTTTCTTTTGTTTTATCCACTGTTCCTTACAAGACTATCGAGCCAATCTACCCAAACTAGAAATGTTACAAAGCTGTTTTCCAAGAATGTAAAAATATAGTGGGAACAAAAAAGCCAGTCCCAGAGACTTTTCTTTAGTTGGGAATTATTGCGACATAAGTTCGTCTCATTCGGAACTCAGTAAAAGAACTGTCAACTTACATCATTTGTGTCAACCACCTCCCTTTCGGCTGCAGGTCTATGCCCCCAGACCTCTTCCGCTATCTCGTACAAAATCCAGTCTTTTCGGGATAGACCGGTGGCGGTTAGGTTGTGATCCTTTATATCGCTTTTAAATTGTAAAAAATATACAATTTTATTGAACATGTTTCGCAATTATATTTATATGATTATAGAATTAAACCCCCTGAAATAGCTTCCACGTTGAACCCCTCCCTCTCCGACCCATCTGGATCCAATTTTAATACATCGTTTTAATACGTGTAAGTGTGCACAAAAATATCGAATGACCTTTAATTTCATGCAGTAGCCTAAAGAATTCCTTTCTCGACACTCCTCAGATTGCCATCCTGCCCTCTCTACTTACTCGATTATGATTATTTTTTGAAGCTAGGAATCAGTCTTGGAATTTTTGGAGGGATGATTGGGTTTTCAAGGGGGGGGGGGACAATTTTCTAAGAGTCTTGATTTTGGGGTGTCAAAATACACAGGACTGGCCTTTATTTAAAAGTTGTCAAACTATATTTATGTTTCCTTCAAAAGTAGACAAAAAAATACGCTTTGGTGGTTCTTTGTCAGCACTACACTGAAAATGTCACCCGTATTAACCTTGGCCCTGGAACCTATCAGCTCTTTCTCCTACCAGGAGTAAAGTGTACATGTACGCACATACGCCTATGTATACAGCTGAAATCTGGAAAAATATAAAGATTTTTTAATTTCCTGAAAGCATTTTTTGTCATTAAATCGGGATAAATATTTGTCATTGTATTGGTGTTATTTTGTTAGGATTTCTTTTAACTTTTTACCGATTAAGTGGAGTGAGAGACTTTTGACCAAGCCAACTCCAGTTCTATCCCGGAATATACGTAGCTCTCAACACTTTTTTTACTTATCCTTTGTCAACATGCACAGCTCTGGGTAGCTTCAGTAGTATGAAGAGACCGCAAACACCTTTACGAAGGACCATGACAGAAGAGAGATTAAGTTCCCCAGGCTTGCAATTCTGCATATGAGCAAAGGACGTGATTGATATTGATGGCATTATAACAGAGTTTGCCTGTCTGAAGGGTACACATCTCGCCCTTCGCTTGTAACCTCCTTGACGGCGTTACCCGTTTTTGCCGTAAACACTGTACCTTACCGATAACACTAGAGATTGCCTGCGTGCAGACGTCTTCCTATTACCTTTGTCGCTCCGCGTGCCACAATGTGGGAGAAAAATTGCATCAGAGACATTTTGGAATACAGCATTGTATCCGAAGAAGTGCAAAGGCTGTAAAGCTGTTTACAGGCGTCCAATGACCATAAATAATTATATATTACTATATTTATTATGATCACTATTATCATTAGTATCATTATTATTGTTACTATTATTATCTTTTTGTTATGTTTTCAAATAGAACTGTGTGTATTATCAAGCAGAAAGAGCCAATGACTATTCGTTAAGTCCACAAGACCGGACCAAGCTGCCAGATCTGCTTGTTGACTTTGAGGACAGACTGCATTAAGTTGGACAAATGGACAAAACCTTAAAAAAGATAGGCGAGGAAGTAATCTCTAAGCTAAAATCTCAATTTGCTCGACATATAGGATACCTGTTCAGGCCTTAAATGACAACGAATGGGATTACGATTCTAATGAGTTCAGCTTTCCACCTAACTTTCCGTCCAATTAGAAGCTAGAGAAGGCGGTTTAAAAAATGGTTGAAAATATAATAAAGAAGGCACTCGCTGCAGGAACACATCCAGTGGTCTACTGAAAGACACCTACCGAAGCAGTTGGAGGGCAGAGAATGGTTTGCCAATCTCTTCAAGGTTGCTGTTTTTCCTGAAACAGTTCGGCAGGGTGTCTTACAAAATCATTTTAAAAATATATAGATTTAGCCAGGGCTAAAAGCGAAGCTCCTATATATTTACTCGAATCAAGAGAGGATAAAGGGGACAGAGAAGGCATCCTCCATACACACCCTATTCCACAGGCAATTCGTCTCGAGTTATTTTTAAAACCGCAGATCCAAAGGGGGATTAGACAACAGCCAATCACATAGCGCGAACGTGTTCCGCGTGGATGACCCACGTTCAGAGTCACGCGTCCTTCACGAATTGAGGCAGAAAAAAATGGTGGAAGACGCGGAGAGCAATATTGCTATTCGTTTTGTCGACGAAAACGACTAAAGAGAGATCTCTGCTAAAGCTGTGTCAGCGAAACGGAAATTAAAAAAGAATCGCCATTCCTCTCCTGTATAGAGCTAACAGCACAGCAGGGAAATCCTTAACACAGTGAATATTCTCTAAGGATCATTTATAATTTACAGTTTGAAGAGAGCAATTTCTGGTTTGATATTTATTCTTTTATTAGTTTTTTATTATTCAACAAAAATAACACTTGGCGTCCTAATTTAATAACTTCTAGAGCGCCATTTACATTCACTGATCAACAGCGCTTAACAACTTAAACAAACTACAATAAAATTCAAATTTGTAAAACTAATTACATGTACATGAATATTACTTGCTACTTGCTTTATTGTACAAACGACCAGTTTCAATAGACCGGCGAAATTTCTCATTTTATTAAAGCACTGAGGTTACGATAACTTCGAGTTAAACTGATTTCACGGGTTGTCAAAGAATCGAGCGATTCCCTTTTCCCAGGTGAGACTCATTTCGCTTCAATATTCAGAAATGCTCTCGATCTCTTTACTTTCATTGCCTTTCGCCCGAAATGTTTTGCACGGCGTTTAGTCATGCGAAACCTCCACGAAACATCCACGCAGGGCGCGAGGTAACTTTATCCCGATTCTAAAAATAACTCGAGACGAATTACCTATGGAATAGGGTGTGTATGGGGGATGCCTTCTCTGTCCCCTTTATACTCATCTCTTGCTCGAATTTATAATTTAAATCAAACAATAAACTTGTTTTTACAATTCAGTTAACTTTAGAGCACATTCATGTGACTTTTGAGGAAAAAGTTAAGTGATTTTAGAGAAAAGTAATTTGCAAACAGTCCAAGCTCAGAGTGAACTTAATCTTACATCGAGTTGATAGCCTTATATGTACACCCAAAAGATAGCAATCATCTTCGATCACATTTAAGAGCGCGGGCTCTTGGTCACAGTAGATTAGGCCTGGAAAACAAATCAGGCCGAATTTTTTGCGTTCGACAAGTTTACTTTACAAAATCTTGCCAACAAGTCTGGGGACGTGTAACCCAACCTTTTATACTTTTTATACATTACATCTGAGGTGAAACAGTACCATGAGGCGCTGTTTTTATCATACAGACCTCGGACAGAATGCAGTATTTCACAATTTTGCAATACAAATTGCACTCACTCAATATTCAGGACGATCGAAGCACGTGTGGACTTTTAGCGAAACCGTTTATAAAAACATTTCCAAAATCACCTATACGGCTAGCCGGTTCTCACTTTTGACAAGCGCCAATGTCGACTGTTTAAATTATGATTAATAGAGTTATACGCTTCAACGTAATAAAGAATTTATTCACATAATAATAATAATAATGAAATAATAATAAACATAATAAATTCTTTATTATGTTTATTTTTTTAGCGGAGCTCCCGCGCGCGCGAAGCGTGCGCGCAGCGGAGCACCATGGGTAAGAAAATTTGGTAAACTATCCATCCCAGAAAATTTGGTTATGACGTAGCGTACGCCCGTCCGTACACACACTTCATGTAAGCCGATGTCAAATGTCACAATAGATCTTGCACAACTTGAATAGCCTCTTAGTTATGTAAGCCATCCGTATGAGTACGATTAGATTGACAGCTGTCAAAATCAGACATCCGCTGACAATTATCACATTACCGTCCCGCGGGCTCAGGTAAAAGACCAGTCGTTTTGCCCCTATATATAAGCTGATATAATATGTCAGACTTA